CTCTCTCTCTCTCTCTCTCTCTCTCTCTCTTTCTCTCTCTCTCTGACATCGGGGTTTTCTCTCTTACAGTAAGCGCCTGACACTGACAATGTGGACATCAGCGAGGAATATATAGTGTAGGCTATCATCAAAATTCGCATCGTGTTATCAGCGCATTCAACTTCATTATTACCAGGTAAAACGGCATTATTATGCCAGCTATCTTTTTTTCTGTATGCATATCGTATTTGTATAGCTTTTGGTAATCGCATCCGCTGTTAATCTGCTCCGGTCAGAAGTGAGCGATGGTTCAGAATCGCGCTGTTATCCCGTATTAAAGCGCTGCTGCTGCTGCTGTAGGCAAAAAAAAAGCTCCGCGCTTTGTGTACGGGTCCGTTTCAGCACCACTAATACAACTTAAACAACTAGTATTAATCGGAATGGCGAAGTTTACAGCTTAATGAACGTTTTATGGAGCAGTTCACCTCGCAGCTGTTTGAACCTGCTGTTTAAGTTAGCATAACGCGCAACATTTACCGTCCGTAGAGATTACGCGACCAAATTGATTTGTAAATTTAGATTGCTAACCTAGTTAATCTGATTAAACCAATGCAAAGTAAGAGCTGAACCAACCCAACCCTGGCTAGTGATCTAGGATTCAAATCTCACTCAAGCTGAAGATTGTTTATTGGTTCTTTGCAGCACTGTAAGGTTATGTCGCAACGTTTTGGTTGTATAAGGCTGTTTGTAGCCTATAAGTTGTTTATGCATATCAACATATTGGTTTCTAGTTTCATTAAAGGTTTAATACAGAACCGAAAAAGTTCTTTGTAATTAAAGCGTCTACATCAATCTTTGTTGATTCAGCTGAAGCCTTTATAAACGCCAGAGGTCTGGGTGATCACTCCTTCTGGACATGTGATTTGATTTTGGATGCTCTAATTGATTAGGTTGACCGGGAGCCGAACCCCTGCAATTAGTGCAAATACTAATTTGCTGGGGTCAGTGACTGAATGACTGAGCATCTTTGTAATTGAACTCATCCAGGAGAGTGCATTGGCTGTTTGGAACTAATTTTCCTCCATAATCAAACCTTTCTTCACTCCATCACCCTCTAATTTAACTTTATTATTATTCTTCTGTCAGTTTCTGTCAAATATTTTTCGATTAACTAGACCACTTGCACAGATAGTCAAATCTATCTATCTATCTATCTATCTGTTTATTTGTCTGTCTGTCTGTCTGTCTATCATCTATCTATATATTGTTTAAAAAACAATTTATTAAAAATGTTATATATTCATATTTTTTATAAATTTGACATGATATAATATAAAATGGTACTACTCTGAGAAAAATTGGTGTTTGATTTACTTTGAAACAATCACTTTCACTTATTACATTTCACAAATATCTACAAAGAAATACGTATAATTAAACATGAAATGTTGAAGTAGAAAAAATTGTAATACATTATTGTATACAACAATGTAGTTTGTTTAACTTACAACTTAAAAAATTATTTTTACAGTATATATATATATATATATATATATATATATATATATATATATAATATTTGAATGTAAAAGGAGGATCTACTGATATGTTAAGCATATAGTTATGCATAACTGTTACTGCATTATATAATGTATTTGCAAATATTATTAAGGCATTTGTGGAATAATAGAGTCGATCAGTTATTTAAATTATTCTCCATCACCTAGAAATGAAGTAAAAGCTTGACTGCTCTAGCTGAACTTGTAATGTAGAATAAAAAGCTCATTGTGCTTTTGTCATGCTTTATTTTCTCTGCTAAACTGTGTGGCATGTGAGCAGCTAATTCTTCTTCTCCGAATCACTGAATAGAGATCTTTGTTGTTGTACTTTTGCCTCGCTGTACAAACTAGCTTTGAAGTTAACTTTGGATATTAATAGGGTGTACAGGGACGTGTTCGTAGCTTGTCCTTATCACCTATTGAAGAATATTACTCTGAGATGTCCTTCAAAATAAGTCCTTCGAAGTTGCAAAGAAACTGACGTTTTGCATTTCTTTCGGTTCCTACGAAATGTCTATTACAAAATAAGACGTGGCGATGTAATTGTTGCCATTAAAGTGTGGACAAATCTGCACCAAAGCACATTAGTTTTGGTTCTTTGATTAAGTCCCCCTGTCAACTCAAACTGATATTCCCTCAAAGCGAGATTATAGGAAAACAAATTGCCTCTCTGGCTGAGGAAATTAGGAGGCCAAAAAACCTGATGAATGACTTAAGAAGGAAAAAAGAGGATGAAGTGTAAACATCCTTCCAAAACAAAGCCAAAACCAAGAGCGGCTTTGCCTGGAAGATCTTCAGACCTCCTCGTTGAAGTTCACCTAACACACAATGGCATTCAGCGTCGCAGACAGGCGATTAACTGCGGTTTAATCTGCACGAGGCCCTTTTCTCCTCCACATTCTGATCTACAACACTATTTTTATCCCCACAAAACAACCGCGCTTCCCCAACCCCCTAAAAACACTGCAGGCATCTGTGAGGAATCCAGCATTAAAGATAAGAGTGCAGGCTCACTTGGCACTGCGTGAGGATGCTAAGTTTGTCAGCGTGACATGCATGTGATTCATGCAAATTCTCCCTTGTGTCTGCCGTTTGTTTGTTTCGGGTGAGTTTGCAGCGCGTGGTGCGTCACAAGGCCCTCGGGCGCATGGCGGCAGAGCTGATCATACATGGTTTCTGTGTTTAAAAAAAGATCGGAGAAGATATTGACCGCTTGCAAGTACGTTGGCATCAGCAAACTTTGCCCTTGGCCTGAAATGTGACTGTCAAAACTGATACGACTGGGCCTTTTAACTGAATTTAAGGCACAGAATTCAGTCATTATATGTTGTTCCAAACCCATGTGACTTTCTTTTGTCTGTGGAAAAGGAAAGGAGAGATTTTGCAGTGCTTACGTAGTGACCACGTCTTTACAAACTCGCAAAAAGATTGGTCATTTGCAAAAAAAACAAAAAAAAAAATCATGAAGGAAACAGTTTCCGTTTCCAGTTACTTGAAGCTTTTGTTATAATAGCCAAGCGAGCTCAGTTTGATTTATTTCTGGCTGATTTTGAAATAACAGTTCAACCAAATACTTCTCCTTTACTACACTACTAAATAAAATATTTAAATTCTTCCATATCTACTGTAAAATACATTTTCAATGACCTATTATTAATATTTTAAGTATTAAGAAATAAGGGAATGTTTTAGGCAAAAAAAACAAAAAAAAAAATCATGAAGGAAACAGTTTCCGTTTCCAGTTACTTGAAGCTTTTGTTATAATAGCCAAGCGAGCTCAGTTTGATTTATTTCTGGCTTATTTTGAAATAACAGTTCAACCAAATACTTCTCCTTTACTACACTACTAAATAAAATATTTTAATTCTTCCATATCTACTGTAAAATACATTTTCAATGACCTATTATTAATATTTTATGTATTAAGAAATAAGGGAATGTTTTAGGGATGTATGACCAATATATGCATGATAAAATAAAATAAAAACAAAAAACTGTGATATCAACAGCCAAATATTATATTTATTTTTTTATTTTTATGTTGTTTCAGCCCATATTGGCCATATATTGGTCAATATTTGGATATTTAATGGTGCATGTCCTTCTTTCTGACTAGTTTTACATTTAGATCATCTAGCACCGACTTCATTTGTTACATTTAAACTAGCCTATTAATTCATTTATATCATGTTTTATCGATATGTTTTGCTTTTAGTATGTAATATACTTTTTGACAAATTAGTATTGAATTTTAATATCAGCCATTTATCGATTATTGTTCATAACATAAAAGGGAGTTTGTAAGGGATTTATTTATTTAGAACAAAATAGTATTGAATTTTTGTATCAGCCATGTATCAATTATTGGTCAGAACAAAAACTGTAAATATTAGTGCATCCTTTGTTTGTTTAATGTTTTGTTTATAGGGTTTATTTATATTATGTAATATATATTTTTAGACAACATAGTATTGTATTTAAAATATCAGCTATTTATCGATTATCGACCATAACTTGAATTATTAAAAAGAATTAATGGCTTATCAGTATCAAACAGAATTTTAATATTGGCGCATCTCGAGTTTATTTCTTTCTTTTTAAATCATCATAGGCTGCCATATGGAAAATAGCTGCATGAAGATTCTTCAAAAATTCTTCTTTTGTGTTTCACAGAAAAAAAAGAAGAAGAAAAAAACAGCACACAGGTTTGGAATGAAGTGAGGGTGAATAAATCATGACAGAACTTTAGTTTTTGGGTGAACTGTCCCTTTAAGTAAAAAGAAACCAGCGTATTGACAGATTGATTGCATAACAATGGCTTAACGTCTGTCATATGAGGTAAACAAATTAGCTCCATTGAGTCATGCAGAAAGAGACCAAACTTGCTGTCACAGTGTGTTTGGTGCTGAAACAACTGTTCCACCAGACTCTCCTCATATAGCACTTCCTCCAGCTACATTTGTCAGCTTACATGAGTATATTTTCCCCGGCTGGTACATTTATAGGTAATGCAGTGAATTTTATTTTTGACAGACTGGTCCATTGGTAACTCTTTTTGTCATGCTTTATTTTATATTTTAGGTCTTGCTGTATGCACTGTATAAATAGATTTTCAGAAGTTACAAATAAAACAAAGACTATTGAAATACGTTTTACAAAAAAAAAACCGATTTCAATCTTTGTATTATAAAATTTCACATATTCAGTGTCACTTGCCGTTTCTTTGTAATTATTTCTGACATTTTGTTTTATGTATGTATGTATTTATTTATAGTCACTATGGACTGCAGTATGGAAAAGAGCTGCATGAAGATTCACATTAAAAAAAAGTAATTTCTATTCAATTTCAGAAATTGCTAGTGAAAGTAAATCCTACACTTATTTTTCAGTGTGGTGTCATTTTCATTCTTCTTTCAGATTACTGGTTTTGACAAAAAAGGGGGAAAGTAATGAATGTTCATTTGAAACGGACATCATATCTCACTATTTCAGCCAGCTTCTAACGTATAGCGTCAAGGTTGTTGCTTTTTTCTTGAGACTGTATCTAAAGAAGCGATTCTCCATTATGCAGGTTGTTTTACACTCGTATCTGCTTCAGTTTTCTCCCATCAATGTCACAACAGCACCCCCTTCCTCA